GACATCTCGTATCAGCTATTGGTGAGCCCCAGTCTTCGGGGCCTTATCTCTCTTTTGTTTTAGTCATTATAGTATTTCAGTTAATAAGGTATACCGGGGACCTTGTCCCGGTAAACAGTTGGCGTTTTCAGTATTCTTTAGAGGCTTCGTAGACTATAACCCAGTCAGTCAGATATTAGCAGGCTTTCATGTGTTAGCCTTGTCGGCTACTTGTTTATACTTGCAGACCTTTCAGTATTTTTCCGCATCTATGATATTTCAGTCAGACTTTTTAGCAGACTATCATGATTTACATTTACCTCTAGCTCATAGTTATACCACATATTGATCCAGCTATACAGTTGGTTCGCTCGGTCGCATGTAGGCAGGCACCGAGTGCCGTGTCACGCCCAGGCCATAGTTCGGGGCGTGACACCGGGATCTTCACGCAATGTGTAAGAAGTGCAGTATGAGTACAACTGACCCCATGTACTCAAAAAGTAACAAACCTAACCTTAGGCTGAAAGTAGTGATGAGCTGGAGCATATGTTGGGTCCAACACCAATAACCAACAGCAGTTCAAACAACGTAGAGCATACAAACAAGGAAATAATCTCAAAGATAAAAATGTTCAGCTTTTATGCAGTTTTTTCGAAAATAGTTTTACTTTTTCAGAATATCAGTGGAAACCCAAATCCTTTATCGAAATCATCAAAAAATTATGAGATAGTTTGAAAACTGTAATTTTCCTGAAAAATCCTTTCCAAAATAGGTTCATTCCATTTCCAAATAACAAGTGTGAAATACCACTCTATGCCCACATATCAATATGTGTAAAAAGTCATGAACGATGTGCTACCGTACAGCATGAGGAAAATGCATCTTTATGCATGTATGCCATATATGCATGCCAATGCCATGTACCTCAAAAACGAATCATGCACTCACACTCTCAGAGTACTCAACCTCAGTGTATCACACTTTCCACTTATCATAATCAACCACTCGGTACTGTATATGGCCCATACAACCCAGGGAAATCCATCCCGGAACATATACGATACTGACTAGAAGTCATCCAATACCGAGGAAAAAGGGCAATCTAACCCTGTGGAGAAATCCATCTCCAGATATCAAATACTTTGGACAAATCCATATCCAGGGAAATCCATCCCACAATAATATCATTCGCGCCCACTGTGGGTATGCAGACTCCGAAGGGGCTCCTACGTCCCTAACACTATAACAAGCCAATCATGGCATAAATCAATAAAACATATTGCGGCGTGCAGCCCGATCCCATAACTGTCACTCATAACCATGCTCTCGGGCTCACTCAGTCATCAATCTCTCCAGTCTCACCCACGAGCTCACAATGTCATGAAAGTTGACCCGGAATAACGATATGATGTATCAATAAGTAACATCTGAGACTGAGATATGATATGAATGCATGAATGTGACTGAGTATGAAATATCAATAAAATCAATGAGATGACAGCAAGAAATGACCGCTAGGGGTCCCAAAAATATCAGCATAAAACCTAAACATGATATCTAGCATAATATACAGCTCAATTACTTTTATCACATGGTGAATAACTCAAATATAAACAAAGTGGGCCACTAAACAGTGCCCTGGAAACAATAGAGTCCTAACTCACAGGGTGCACGCCCACATGCCCGTCACCTAGAATGTGCGTCACCTCAACATCAATCTCAAAGCACGTAATTTGGAGTTTTATACCCTCAGCACTAAGTTTAGAAGAGTTACTTATCTTAAACAAGCCGATTTCGATATTGAGCAAGCTAAGCGATGCTCCAAGAATGCCATCACGCGCGTAGCGACCTCCGAACGGCTCAACACTAGCCAAAAGCAACTCAAATATATCAGATAAAGCCCAAAGTAGCAATTACAAATGATACATATCGAATCCTAAGTCAAACCCCAAATCCGGCCAAAAATCACACCTGGGCCCACGCCTCGAAGCACGACAAAACTCACAAATCCGACAACCTATTCAATTACGAGTTCAACCATACTAGTTTCACTCAAATCCGACTCCAAATCGGTGTTCAAAACTCAAAAATTCATATTATGAAACTTTAAGCCAAAACCCTCAATTTTCTCTTTAAATTCATCAACCAATTGCCAAAAATGAAGATAGATCCATGAAATATAATCAAAGCTGAGTGGAGAACACTTATGCCAATCCTTGTGATGAAAATTGCTCCAAAAATCGCCTCAATCCGAGTCCCCACATCTCAAAATATGAAGAAATAACCAAAACCTCAATTTTTATAGCTTCTGCCCAGCAATTGATCCGCATTTGCGGTCAAAATGTCGCATTCTGACCACCGCATCTGCGGTCACCACTTCGCTTCTGCGACCTCAACTCACCAGGCGACCCCTCGCAGGTGCGAAGCCCAAACACGCATCTGCGCAAAACCTCGCTTCTGCGATCAACTATCCGCATCTACGCCCATACTTCCGCAGATGCAGAAACACCAGAACCAGCAATGATACACCTGCAATATTTGTTGTTAACCTGCCATATCAATTTCCTGGAAAGAAGCTCCTGCTCCATCTGCGAGGCAATTAGCTACTTTCCTGCTTTTATCACGTAATTGCTGAAAATGGTCAAAGAATTTCTCAGTACTATATGACTGTGCGGCAAAAAAGAAATGCTTAATCAAAATTCCACAATGAAACATCTTGCGCATATTTTCAACAATGTGACGCATGCAAAAACCAATATGAGCGGCAGTAAAAACTTTTTTGAAGCCATTCCCAATAGATAGATGCTGATCGGAGATAATGCATAATTTATCACTGTCGCAAACAATGTGTCGCAACAGTTCAAAAAGGTAGGTCCAACAATCATCGCACTCTTTATCTACTACACATAACGCAATTGAAAAAAATGTGATTCTTTGTATCTTGTGCCACAACAGACAACTTTTTAGGAATAGGTATATAAGGGTAATTTTGTAAAAATAAACTGAAATTTTTCTTGATTATATAAACGAATATTTATTTTGGACCAAAAAAAAAATTGATCACTTATTATGGATCAGAGGGAGTAATTATTACTCGTATTTCGGGGTAAATACATATCTAGACCAAAAGATCTTGATCATAACAATTTCAGGGGCGTCAAAAGAGGTATAGTTTTTGTGGCTCCCCACGCTTCTTGTTTTGCTTTTCTAAAGTCTGGATACTTGTTGCACTTTAGACACCTGGCTATTCGTAGAAGACTTTAATATATCTGGCCTTTTACCTAAATAACCCTCTCCAGGCAAAGAAAACAAAGATAAGAAACTTGTGGCCACAAATTTTCAGATTATTATATTACCGTCTCACCACTTGTGGCCACATAAATTTTGGTCAAAGAACCCATCCAATGTCCCCACCCAACTCTTCCCTTCACTGTATCTATCAATCTGGCTGGCTTTCACTTTCTTGCACTAACTATGTTTATTAAAGAAATACACGTGGCATGGTGATTGAACGATAGGCGGCGAGTGGTGTTGACGTGGCAAAAAGTGCAAAGAAAAAGTTCACCTTAAAGGAGAGGGCAACAAACAGTAAGATAATAATAGTAGTACAGCTCATCAATCATCTCATCCTCATCTCCTTCATTCATACCCACAAAATTAAAACATCCACTTAATTTTCTCTTATTTCATTCATTCATGATCCATAACTATTGGCTTTCCTCATTTCTCTCTCTCTCTTTTTGAGTCTTGTATTATTTGAAAAGGCTGGAGATATTTTAGCTTTCTTTCATAGTCACACAATAAATATCACATTTTTTTAAAAGTTATCCCTAAATTTAAAATAGTATAGAAAAGCGTACTATGACAGCTATTTAATTATTTAGCTGGATATTTTTATGTGTCCTTTCTTGAGAGTGAAAAGATTTTGCTCAAGGATGTGGTTGAGATTTGTACTCGCCTTTATGTTGGCCCGTGTTCTTTTATTTTCCTTTTTTCTCTTTTTATTTTAAACCCCTTACCATGATGTAGAAAATTAATTAATCTGCCTTCTCATAATGAAAATTACTTTTCACCAACTCAATTAAGATATCAGTTGATCACCTTATCATGTGACATTGAATAGTATTAGACCGTTAAATACTCCTATGTCTTGTTTAATTTTAAGATATCTGTATTTTATAATATTAGGAATAATTTAATTTGAATCACATTAGAATTTATTTTTGCAATCTGCCTTATATTTTACGATTATTTCCGCACCATTACATCAAGACTCTCATTTGATTTTACATTAAATATGTAAAGATTTATTTTTACTCACACACGAGTATAATAAAAACATGGTTTAACCATTTTATGTTCATTATGATTTAATACAAGCAATTCTATTTTACAAATGCTTACATCTTGTTTTAAATAAAAGAAAGACTTAACATGGTGCTTTTTTTGTGGATATTATTAGACAACATAATAAACTTTCCTAAAAAGAAGAATCATTTAAACATGCTTTTATCTTCATAAAAAATACTAGTACTCCTTTGGAAGAAGTTCGGATAATATCTTTTGAGACTAAAATTGTCATCATTTAAAAAGGGAAATTGTAGAAAAAGTGATGAGAGTGTCAAACTCGTTACCCCACCATACAGAAAAAGCGAAAAAGGTTCGTCCAAAGTTCGACACGTGGAAGACAAAAGAAGGAAGTACAAATTTCCAATTTGGTACTCGCGAGTATGAAACATGAATTGTCTAGCACTTTTGTCAAAATCTTGGCTTAAAATAAAAAACGATATTTTAAGAAAACAGAAAAAGAAGAAAAAGACGAGATAATGAGGTCAATTTGCCACGTGTCATATGCTGTCTTTGAACGTGAACCACAAGATTTCAATGGATTTCTCGATCGTTCTATCAGAAATTCCAAAAACATCCCCCAAAAGAAAACGAAATTATCATTTTATCCACATGACGTGGCAGCCCCTCGCGTCTTCTTTTCTCTTCTTTTGAACCCCAAAAAACTGAAATTGTATTCATTTCCATTTTCTCTCTGCCTTGTAGTTCTCCTCCTCCTCCTTCCTTTTCAACTTACCAAAAATTTTAATGTATTTTTCAGTTCTGTAATTGAAGTTTACAGCTGATATTTTTGGGATTGAAGAGAATTGATTGGCTAAACTGTGGGCTATTTCCTGAGTGGTAAAAAATTGATAATTTTGGCTCAAAAAGTAGCGGAATATTGATTATTTCTGCAGTAATGACTGTACAGGTATGCTTCTTCTCTTTTTAGATCATACTATAATTTTTGTATGATTTTCTTAGATGCGTCTTGCTCTCAGATTGTAGTTAGGTTTTATCTTTTTGTTCATATTGGCTTTGATGGATTTGGAAATTTCTATTTTTTCTACTGTATGACCAACAGTAAAAATTTACCCTGCAGGTTTACACCAAAACCAAATCATGTTAATTTATCATGGTTCAGTAGTAAATTGAGGTGAGAATTTGGACTAATTAACTACTCCTCCGCACCATAATAAGTGATTTTTAAAGATTTGGAACTCCAATTAGAAAACCATTTTAATAACATCAATTAAGGGGGTTATTTGACTAAGTTAACCTTTATCTCTTCTCAATATTAATTTAGAAGTTTTAAGAGTTTTTTTAGGAATTTGTTCTAATTATTTATTAGACAAGTGTAAATTTGGAAAAAGTCAATTTATACCTTAATTTATTTTTTTCAAAAATCACCTATTTTTTCAAAAATCATTTATGTGAGACACATGTTATGTATTTACTGGATTGATGTAATTGTTTCCATGCTTTACCTGGTTAGAAGATGGAAACATAGCGAGTATTAGCATTAGAAAAAATAATTATGCAATAAGTAAATTTCTAATTCATAGATGTAAGTTTCCAAGTTGTATATGTGTGGCCAATTATTGTTATTAAAATGAGCGAGGTTCAGAATTATGATTGAACTGCGTGTCTTAAGAGTGTGACTGAAGTACACAACGAAAAATAATTGCAGGCCTTAAGAGTTATTACTTGTTCTATATCATGTATGTACTTGAATTTCGGGTTCTGTTTTGGATTGAAAGAACTGATTCTGGAAATGTTTATGGAATTCAATTGTGCAGGTTTGTGTGTGCTAGGAATAATAGGGTGAAAACGGTCAAAATATCAAGAATCTAAGTGTTTGTTAGAGTTACCTGTTCTTTTACTTTTTATCCATAGGGGAAAGTTTTGTTTCTTTTGCTACAAGATGAATAAGATTATTTGTGAACTAATTGCAGTATTGTTTAGTCCTGATATGTTGCAATCAACCTTAAGATATCTTAAAATGTAAGAAAATTCAATAGTCATTATCATTAATTGGGATATTGAAAATGTTCATCCTTAATGTAATAGTAGTAGTCATGCTTGCTTGAATGGAAATTTTGTCGATAGAGATTTCTGGAGTTATCTCTGTAGAAGAGCTGTTGATTGATATCTTTTGCCATTCTGAAATGTAGGATCAAAGCAACTCTGACACGATCCTTCCCAGCGGGAGTAGGACTTCACTTGATGTTGGAGCTCCTGCAGATGAATATGCTCCTAAGGTTCATTGCTCCTCACATTGACTAAGTTAACACTTTCTTTACTTAAAGCCAATTTCTGAACGGTTGTCCTTGTATACTGTTTATTTTCACTCAAACAGATAAGAAAACCATACACCATTTCAAAACAAAGGGAGAGGTGGTCAGATGAAGAGCATAGAAAGTTCCTTGAAGCTTTAAAGCTGCATGGCAGGGCATGGCGACGTATAGAAGGTAAAAAACGAACAAAACCAATGGATTATTTGAGGCATCTTTCTGCCGTCATTCAATATTAAAAGAGGTCTTGTTTAATTCTCAGAGCATGTGGGCACCAAAACTGCAGTTCAGATCAGAAGCCATGCTCAGAAGTTTTTCTCAAAGGTTTGCTGCTCCTATATCCCATATTATCTATATGCCTTTTGAAGTAAGTTATATTGTTTATGACTAAGGCGTGCCGCCATTATTAAGAGCCAAATCTGTTTTGTATTGGCTATTGATGTTGAATGTTTTCTTCTGGTCAGGTTGTTCGGGAATCGAATAATGGTGATGTAAGCTCTGTGAAACCCATTGAGATCCCTCCTCCTCGGCCTAAAAGAAAGCCAATGCACCCTTATCCACGTAAATTGGCAATTCCAGTTAAAAGTGGAACCCTAGCTCCAGAAAAATCGAAGAGGTCTGCATCACCAAATCTCTGTCTGTCTGAAACAGAGAATCAGTCTCCTACGTCTGTGTTGTCAGCCCTTGGTTCAGATGCATTTGGCACGGTAGATTCCAGTAAGCCAAGTGAAAGCCCATCACCTGTTTCATCAGCTGTTTCTGAGAATTGTGGTGATCTTGTACTCTCCGAACAATCAGATTTCAATCTAGAGAAGAGAAGATCTTCACCTGCCCAAGCATATGCTAGTTCAACTCTAGACAACCAGGCCTGCGTGGTACTTACGACAACTCTTTTGTTCCATACTATTACATATGATTTCTCATTTGACACCCAACTTATTGTGATTTTCCTGTTTGATTTGTACATCCAGAAACTGGAGTTGTTTCCGGAAGACAATGATTTTGTGAAAGAAGCCTCAGTTGAGGCATCGTCCACTCATAGTCTGAAGCTATTTGGTAAAACCGTATTTGTCACTAATTCTTGTGTACTTTCCTCTCCAACGTCTGGCCAAATATTGTTGGCAGATGTCAATGATGAACCAGCATCACGAACGTTGTCTCAGAGCTCCTTCCCTATGAAAATTTCACCCTCAGATTCAGAATGTGCCCCAAGTACTGTAACTATGTATCACGCGCCAGCAAATGGAAGTCCAAGACCTAACAAAAGTGTGTCTTGCCATCTGTTGTCGTGGGGATCATCATACGTATCTGCTGCATTTTCTTGCACTCAGGTGCATAGCCCAATTCCAATGAAGGGGCGTGCGCTCTTCGATCACAGAGATTCGGAAGATCAGGAAACTCAAAAGGAAGGGTCTTCCACTGGCTCCAACACCGAATCAGTAAGTGCAGAGTTGAGTGTAGACAAGAGTTTGGGAGTTGAAGCTCAGATTAGCCGAAATCAAGAAGCAGGGAGGGAATTATTCTCCGTTAGAGCTAGCGTACCCTCTCTGTTTGAGCGAAGAGCAAATTCCACGAAGCGTGTGAAGGGTTTTGTTCCTTATAAGAGATGTTTAGCTGAAAGGGGCAACAGTTCCTCAACATTAACTGGAGAAGAAAGAGAAGAAAAGCGAACCCGGTTATGCTTGTAGTTACTTTCTTAGTCTGTTTGTGTAGGTTAACACATCCCTTTTGGTTCTGATTAGATAGCTTATATTAATATTATAATATGAGTTGCCGGATAAGTGGATGAAGAGAAGCAACACCATGGCAGCAAAGGCGTCTCTTCCCTCTAGCTTTGCTGAATGGCAGAAGCAGTCTTCCTAATTTTTCCCTCTCAATTCTTCAAATGTATGTTGATAAACTTTTTTCTTGCAAATTCATGTCATTTCTTGCACTTTTGGCAGATGAGCTAACGCTCTTGTTAAAGCTTAGTAAATGCTTGTTACTGTCAAAATTGGACCGCCGCTGGAATGGTAGCTGTACTGGCAATGGCGCTGCCTAGGGTGTTCATGGTTCGGTTTGGATCGGTTTTTTTCCCTTAAAAGAAATCAAACCAAGTAAGTCGGTTTTTCAAATATTAGAACCAAATTAAATTAATTAAGTCGGTTTTTCTCGATTCGGTTTATGTCGGTTTTTGTCGGTTTTTCAGCTCTTTTGGTTATTTGTCGGTTTTTTCTTAAATATAAGACATACACTACCAAACACATATTTCGGTGATCACATTTTTAACGTAACACTATCAAATCAATTGCCCTTTGGGAAATTTGTTATTTAGCAAGATACATTGATGATAATTGAATCAAATAGTGATGAATAATTTAAGGACTCAATTAAAAATATATTATTTTTAACACGAAATGAATTTTTACACTTAACAAAAGAAAATTACCAATCAAATTAGAATGTAAAGGTAAAGAACTATACTAAAAGTACAAACTATTAGCATTTACCATTAAATTTTTGAAACTTTGTATAAAAATATACATATATATAGGTGTAATAATAAATTTGAAATAACTACTCTTGTAGTCGGTTTGGTTTGAGTTTTTTTTCGTTTTTTTCTGATTAAAATCAAAATCAAACCAAACCAAAAAGTATCGGTTTTTTTGATCGATTTGATTTAATTTTCTGTTTGGTTCGATTTTTCGAGATTTTATGAACACCCCTAGCGCTGCCCTGTTGTTTTTGTCTTTCATTCTTCCGGAGATAAAGAGAGTAGATTTCATTAAAAAGATGGCTAATTTCTTGTAGTTAATGAATCATTAGAAATCTAGAATGAATGTAGCCCTGACATTCTAGATCTTAATTGAATGCAAGTGACCAAATTCATAGTGTCTCAAAGCGCTATTTATGTCGTCCAAGCCAATTAGCCAAAATATTCGATCTGGGAAGGTGGGGTGCACTGCTTTTCTGGAGTAATTTTCTTCTGGATAATATTTATCATATTTTGTGTTTAAATAGTTATCTTTCCTGAAATTGTTGTGGTTGAGTTAAAATGTTTTCTCACTATTAAAAAAAGAACGGAAAATGGTCTGATCGGTCCCTCTACTATCATCAATAGTTTAAATAAGTCATCCACTATACTATTAGAGCATTAAAGCTTTAATGCTCTAATAGTATAAGGGAGGGCTTATTTAAATTATTGATTGATAGTAGAGGGGCAGATCAGACCCTTTGCCGAAAAAAGAATTAGTTGCAATCTTTTACTGTCAGTAAGAACATGAATCGAACTCCCACCTCTATTGGATTCACTTAGCTTAAATTTTTTAGAATATTTCTAGAAATTTTATGGATCTTTAGAGTCAAATGATTCTCCCCGTTTGGAGTTTGGAGCAGTTTCAAAGTACATAGTGTTCGTTAGAGTAACGAAATAAAATGTATCCAAAGATATGCCAGTCACTTCGTGCTATCTAATCTTACATTGTGAATCCTGTCTAATATCAAGGAAAGAAAGGATACATACTAGCATGATAAAAGTCAAACCGGCTTCATGTCGGCTGACTAATAGCCTGTTCGGCCAAGCGAAACGTCCGCTTATTTTGAAAAGCGTTTTTTCTCAAAAGTGGTTTTTTTCAAAATTACTTTTGGTGAACAGTTTGTATTTGACTAATTTATTTGAAAAACACTTCTTAGAAGCAATTAGTGTTTGGTCAAGTTTTTAAAAACTATTTCTAACTGTATTTTTCTCAGAAGTGCTTTTGAAAAAAGTGCTTTCGGAGAGAAGCTATTTTTTTCTCCTCTTCCTCAAAGGCACTTTTTTTTTTCCTCTAAAAGCTTGGCCAAACACTTCAACTTTGCAGTTAAACACTTTTTTTGGAGGAAAAAAATACTTCTGACTTGAAGAAGCTTGGCCAAACAGGCTATTATTATAAGATTGGGGTATGAGTGACTAATTTCATGGATGAATTTACCTTTTTTCTTTTACATGTATTTCACATATGTGACATTTGAAATGGTCTCAAATAGAATCGTTAAAAATGAAGGACATATATAATACGTTTAGATAGTGAACGATACGACTTACTAATTTCGTAAAGTTGAAGAGCAAAGTTAAGACTTTTATTTTTACCTTGATTTGTTCGTTCTTTGTTAGTGATACAAGAGATATTTAGAGAAAGAAAAAAAGGCAAATATATAGACAGCCCCTTAAACATGTCTTCAGTTTTCATTTTGACACCTTAACTTAGCGTTTTTCCTATTGAACACTTAACTTTATTAAGATGTCATGGTCCTAAAATCAACAATGAATCTATATATACGTTCATCAACTTCAAACCCATGTTCTGCATTTCACATAACCTTACACCTCCTAGAGAGGGCTTTGTTCTCTTTCAGTATTATCCTAGCCATTGATGCAATGTCAATAACCCAAGTCTCAGCAAACTTCCTCATTTCAGTGGTCCTTTTCATGATTTTGTGTCTAATTTCTTCCAACATAGTTATAACAGACTTGTGCCTAGGACCTACTATCCAAGAATTGAATGTTTCACACATGTTATTCTCAATGACATCACACTTTGAATCTTCTCTAAAGTATGCCCTACACCAATATTCTTTATCATACTTTAACAAGTCTTCACATATCTTATAACCAAGCTTATTCATTGCTTCCAGTTCTTCCTTGAATTTCTCTTCATAAGATGCTTTGGGACATATCCAGAATTGTTTCCTCTTTTCTTCACCTCCGTGTTCTACCATTGGTAGTAATTTCCTTATAGTTGGTACTAGTCCCTACAAAAAATAGTAATAACTGTTAGTGGACAGTATATATAAAGCAGGAAAAAGAAAAATTAAAAGTTGATTGTAACTTTACTTTTTGCATATCTGATATAACAGTTAAGCCAACACCATCTCCTAACTGTAAATCTGCAATTAAATATGTGATGAACCAGCTCCAAGAGTGTTTTGCCTCTTGATCAACTACAACCCATGCAATAGGAAACATTTGATTGTTCCCATTTCTACCAACTGCAACAAGTAACTCACCCTTGCAGATTCCCTTTAGAAAACAACCATCAAATCCTATGATCCTTCTGCACCCTTCTAACCATCCTCTTTTCAAAGCATCTAAACGTAGATAAAAATAGACAAACAGATTCTTGCCAGGAAGAGTCTCACTATCTATTCTAATCTAGCATGAACTCCCAGGATTTGTTTGCTTAATAATATCAGCATAATCAGCAAGTCTGTTAAATTCCATCTTCCAGTCACCCATGAATTGACTTATCACCTGTCACGACCCCAGTTCGCCCTCCATGAACTGTCGTGACGGCACCTAGTCCCTACGACTAGGTAAGCCTAACAAGTGTGGAAAACAATCGAAACCTTGCGAAAATTATAACTTAAAACCAAGATTCAACAAAATGGAATGAGATGTAAAATGCCACTCGGCACACACAGCACAACATCTCAAACTTCTATAATACCCAAAACCCGGAAACTCACGGGAACACAAGCTGAGAGAAATGTAGTAAAAACGCTCTAACTCCGGAATATCTACATCAACAGTATGATAGAAGGGCTAATAATACAAGATAGAATAAAGATGGAGACTCTTTGGTCTGCGGACGCGGCAGATGTACCTCGAAGTCTCCAAAAGCTCTCCCTGCCTCAAGGATGGTAAGCCTGTGCAGAAGTACCTGGATCTGCACATGAAAAACATGCGCAGAAGGGCATGAGTACACCACAGCGGTACTCAGTAAGTGCCAAGCCTAACCTCGGTTGGGTAGTGACGAGGAAGGTCAGGGCCCTACTGAGGTTAAATAAGATACAGGTTTAACAGTGTGAGATGATAGTGTAATTAAATAACACAAGATATAAAGGACAGTAACAACTATTACAAGGCAAGTAAAACTCAGTAAAAGAACATAACTCAACTCCGAGATAACAACCGGGGATCTCCCATGATACCGGCCTGTAGTCCCCAAATATAAATATCATGTCCAGTGGATCTCCCGGGTGCAGTCCCGTAGTCCAACTCATAAAGTGCAGGGGGATCTCCCAGAATGCAATTCCGTAGTCCCAAAGTAAACATACAGGGGAGCTCCCGGGATACCGTCCCGTAGTCCCAAAATAAAGTGCATGGGGATCTCCCGGAATACCCTTCCGTAGTCCCAAAGTAAATACACAACAATAACAAAATTCAACTCAATCAATTTCATATCAGAATGAAACAGGTAATCCTAACCTAGCATGGTTCACGTAGTACAATTAAGGCAGTTAAGACAGATAAAGCAGTTTAGTCAAGTAGACATGCTTCTCTAAGCTACAGCAGTTTTAAGTATCCAAACAGTGTAAGAAAGGAAAGGAGGAACAAAATTCAAGGCTATTTTTAAGGAAAACCGGATTTCCAACAATTAGCATAAGTGCGCGCTCGTCACCTCACGCACGAGGCATTTCAATTACCACAATATCAATCCTAAGGGGAAACTGTCCTCCACACAAGGTTAGACAAGCCACTTACCTCGAACCGACTCCAAAATCAACTCGAAACCACACGTTTGCCACGAGTATCCGACTCTAAGTGGCCCAAATATATTCAATTCAATTACATGTCGTAAATAACGTCTCAAGCAACTGATTCTACAATTTAATTCAAAGCTAAAATACGAAATTATGTAAAATAACCAAAATGCCCCTCAGGCCAACTCCTCGGAATCGGATGAATTTAACGTTTTCAGAACCCTCGTACTCTCACGAGTCTAACCATATAAAAAGCTCTCAAATCGGAGGTCAAACACCAACTCAAAACTCAATAATTCGGTCTAAGAAGTTTCTTCCAAAATTTTCCCAATTTTTGATCCCCAAATCCGAATTTAAATGGTAAAATTACTATAGATTGATGGAATATAATTAGAAAGGATTAAAGAAACGTTACCCAATGATCTCCTCTTCAAATCCCTCTCAGAATCGGCCTCTCCCGAGCTCCGATTTGATTTCTCTAACTTTTGAAACTAAACCCTCGAATTTCATATTTCTGCCCAGTGATTTCCGCTTCTGCGGTCAAGGGACCGCATCTGCGGTCCCGCTTCTGCGGACCATTTGTCGCATCTGCGACTTTCATTAAGAGGGCCAGGAGCCGCATCTGCGGTTCTTCTTCCGCAGATGCGAAACCGCTTCTGCGGTGAAATTTCCGCATCTGCGGAACCTGAAGGACACCCAAAAATCCGCATCTGCGGTACGACTAGCCGCATCTACAGTCCCCAAACCGCAGATACGAAAATATCAGAAGCAGCAAAGTCTGCAATCTCTCAACTTCAAAAAATCTTTCCGTCAACCATCCGAAATCATCCCGAGGCCCTCGGGACCTCAACCAAAAGCACCAATAACACCTAATACCTCATTCAAACTTGTACCAATCCTTAAACCACCTAAAACAACATCGAAAACTCGAATTAATCAAGGATTTAAGCCTAAGAATTCCAAATTTCCTCAAAATACGCTTTCGATCAAAAACCTAACCAAACCACTTCCGAATGACCTGAAATTTTGCACACACATCACAAATGACATAACGAAACTACTACAACTCTCGAAATTTCATTCCGACCCTCGGATAAAAATCTCACTATCGAACCGAAATTTTAAAAATTCAACCTTCGGCATTTCAAGCCTAAATTCGCTACGGGCCTCCAAAATACATTCCGAGCACGCTCCCAACCCCGAAATCACCTAACAAAGCTAACGGAACCATCGGATTTCCGCTCCTAGGCCGTCTTCACACTGTTCTGGCTATGGACCATTTTCCAACACTTAGGCTCTCATTTAGGGACTAAGTGTCCCAAAACTCTCCGAAACTCGAAACCGAACATCCCGGCAAATCAAAATAGCAGAAATAAACTTGGGGAAAGCAGTTAATAGGGGATCGGGGCGTAAATTCCAAAAATGACCGGCCGGGTCGTTACATCCTCCCACACTTAAACATTCGTTTGTCCTCGATCAAGCAGAAAGACATACCTGAAGTAGTGAAAAGATGAGGGTACAGGCTGTGCATATCCTGCTCGGTCTCCCAGGTCGCCTCCTCGACCGGCTGGCCCCGCCACTGAACCTTCACGGACGCAATGTTCTTTGACCTCAGCTTCCTGAACTGCCTGTCCAATATTGCCACTGGCTCCTCAACATAGGATAGATCCTTCTCCAACTGGACTGAGCTGAAATCCAACACGTGCGACGGATCACTGTGATACCTCCGGAGCATCGAAACATGGAATACCGGATGAACCCCTACCAGGCTGGGAGGTAAGGCAAGCTCATAGGCAACCTCCCCAACTCGCCTCAATATCTCAAAAGGGCCAATAAACCTCGGACTCAACTTCCCTTTCTTCCCAAATCTCATAACGCCTTTCATAGGCGAAACCCGAAGCAGAACCCGCTCTCCAACCATGTAGGAAACATCACGAACCTTCCGATCCGCATAACTCTACTGTCTAGACTGGGCTGTACGGAGTCTATCCTGAATCACCTTGACCTTTCCAAAGCATCCTGAACCAAATCTGTGCCCAATAATCGGGCCTCACCCGGCTCAAACCAACCCACCGGAGATCTACATCGCCTACCATATAAGGCCTCGTATGGTGCCATCTGAATGCTGGACTGATAGCTGTTGTTGTAGGCAAACTCCGCCAATGGCAAGAACTGATCCCAAGAACCTCCAAACTCAATCACGCACACACGGAGCATATCCTCAAGAATTTGAATAGTGCGCTCGGAACGTCCCTCCGTCTGAGGGTGAAATGATGTGCTCAACTCCACCCGAGTACCCTCCTGCTGTACGGCTCTCCAGAACCGCGATGTGAACTGAGTACCTCTGTCGGAAATAATGGAAACTGGAATACCATGCAGACGGACAATCTCCCGGATATAAATCTCCGCCAACCGCTCCGAGGAATAGGTAGTACACACAGGGATGAAATGCGCGGACTTGTCAGCCGATCCACAATAACCCAAATGGCATCGAACTTCTTCAAAGTCCATGGGAGTCCAGATACGAAGTCCATGGTGATCCGCTCCCACTTCCTCTCCGGAATCTCTATCTGCTGATGCAATCCACCCGGTCTCTGGTGCTCATACTTTACTTGCTGACAATATCCGCCTCCACCAGTAGTGCTGCCTCAAATCCTGATACATCTTCGCGGCACCCGGATGAATGGAATACCGCGAACTATGGGCCTCCTCTAGAATCAACTTCCGAAGCCCATCAACATTGGGTACACAGACCCGACCCTGCATCCTCAATACTCCGTCATCACAAATGGTCACATCTCGGGAATCGCCATGTAACACCTTGTCCTTGAGGACAAGCAAATGAGGGTCATCATACTGTCGCTCCCTGATATGATCAAACAAGGAAGACCGAGAGACCACACAAGCTAGAACCCGGCTGGGCTCCGAAAGATCCAATCTCACAAACTGGCTGGCTAGGGCCTGAACATCTATCGCCATAGGCCTCTCTGCTGCTGGTAAATAAGCCAAACTCCCCAAACTCTTTGCCCGGTGGCTCAAAGCATCGGCCACCATATTTGCCTTACCCGGATGATACAAGATAGTGATATCATAATCCTTCAATAACTCTAGCCATCTCCTCTGACGCAAATTAAGATCCTTCTGCTTGAACAGATGCTGCAAACTCCGGTGATCAGTATATCTCTCACAAGGCACACCGTACAAGTAATGACGCCAAATCTTCAAGGCATGAACAATGGCAGCTAACTCAAGATCATGGACAGGATAATTCTTCTCATGTATCTTCAACTGTCTGGACGCGTAGGCAATCACCCTATCGTCCTACATCAATACAGCTCCAAGGCCAACTCTCGAGGCATCACAATAGACAGTATAAGACCCCGAACCGGTAGGCAATATCAAAACTGGGGCTGTATTCAAAGCTGTCTTGAGCTTTTGAAAGCTCGCCTCACACTCCTCTGTCCACTGAAATGGAGCACCCTTCTGGGTCAATCTAGTCATAGGGGCTGCAATTGATGAAAACCCCTCCACAAAACGACGGTAGTAGCCCGCCAAGCCAAGGAAACTGCGAATCTCTGTAGCTGAGGATGGTCTGGGCCAACTCT